TTGCTGACAGCTCAGAGCCTGGAGCCTGCTTCGGATTCTGCCTCCCTCTCTCTTTGCCCCTCTCCCACTCACACTCTGTCTCTCTTGCTCTCAAAAATAAATAAACATAAAAAAAATTTTTTTAAAGGTTAAGAATGCCTTAAAGTAAAACTTCCTTGGAAAAAAAGTTTTCTGTGTGATAATTCTGTACAGTATTTCTAACCAGATTTTAGGTTTTCTTAACCACCTCTGTAGAGTTGAAATTTCCCAATCAGAACATGAATGCTTTTGTTTTAATCCTTCCTAGATGAAAAACTCCAGACCTGCAAATGGAAAGAAACCTCATGATACTCTTTCTTTTAATGAGAGGCTATACTGTCACCCAACTAGAAGGGACTGAAGTACTTCACTACATGACACAAAGTTCTACCCAGTCTTTCAGAGTGTTTGTTAGACCCCCAATGTTGTTTTGTGACTTAAATTAATTAGTATTGTTTTGTCACTTAAATAGAAAGCTGAAACATAAAATGAAGTGTTTAATAACATTGATTTTGGGAGACTATAAGGGTGAGGTTGTAATTTCAAATAATATGTGAATTTTGTATTCTTGCCTGTTCTTCAACTTCTCTTGGGAGAAAAAGTATACTTGTCTTGAAAATGAGGGAACCAGTACTCATCCCTAAAAACTAGTTATACTGGAAGTTATCAGAACTGACTTTCTTAAATTCACAGTGTATGGGCTTTTTATGGTAGTCTCAGAAATAATTTTAGAATTGTGTGAAGTGTAAGTTTATACTTGAAAATTCCCTAGATATAAGACCAAGCTTGCTCATGCCCTTGAGTGGGATTGCATTCATGCAATTCAGTACCCAGGTACTTTGATACTTTGATAAAGGGGTTAGTAACTTAACCCTTCCTGCTAAGCCTTCTTTCTGCCCTTGTGTGCTCTCTTTTCTTGCCCTCCTCTTCTTCGCCTTTCTTCCAGAAAACCTTTTCCCTGTGGTCTTGCTTTCTGTACTCATATCAGCAGGTTTTTGTTTTATTTTTGCCTAGGGTACTCCCCCAGCCCCTGTTTGTGATTTGCAATGTTTCCTAACTCCTAACAATGTAATTTGTTTGCTTAGTGTTAGAAAACTGCCCAGACTTGTCCTGGGAAATGAAATTCTAGTTTGACCTTTACAATGTTTGCTTTAGGTTGTTGATTAAAAAAAAAAAAATACAGGTTTTGATTTTGTCCTTCAGTGACATGAAATTCGTGGTGAAATACATTATTAATACTTACCTAAGAAGTTTCTACACTCATTTCTACACTTAAGAACATGATGTGTCTTAAGGAGTCATTTAGAGTTGATTATCTTTTGTTATTCTCCTTTTATGCTGACTCAGATTTGAAGGTAAAATTATGTTGCCATGATAAAGCTGAGGTATTTTCATTCAAATTGGAGACTCAGTGTCTGTTTAATTCACTCAATGAAATCTAATGCTGTTTATGGAATTTAGCCATCTTGGATAAGGTAGAGGTACATAATTTTGAGACACTTTGAAACCATTAAAGGATATTTTGGAAAAAGCTAAGCAGTTTTTGTCCCTTTACTGATCTTTTTCATGGCATTATTATAGAAACACAAAGGTATGTTATGTAAATAACTTGATTGAATGTACGCCTTAGGTATGCAGTAAGGCTCCTCCCAAAGGCTGAGTTGGCATCTCGGAAGCAGAGCAGATTTACTTAGCATGCCTTTCCTCATCGAGGAGAAATTGTGTGTGAATAATTATAAATTTCATGTCATGCTTAATAGAGATAGTTTGATAAGAGGAGATTTGAAGGTTGGGTCAAAAGAGAAGCTGGCGGCTTGGATGACAGAGCTAGAGTAGACATTTTGGAGATGGAGCTTTAGAAGAGCTCAGAATGAGGCAGAGTTCATCTGACCCTTTGAATCTGTTCTTTCTGTTAGTGAGGTGTGGTGGGAAGGCAGCAGAAGCCAAACTTACATGATGGGGTGACAAATTCCCACTGGGGATACTTTTCTTTGTTTCTAGGAGCTCCAGAATGAAGCTAATCGTTCATAAGAGTAGAGGTAAACCTATATAATTTTCAGTGTGGAGGAGGCTGAGCACTACTTCTTGCTCAGTGACAGTACGTGGATTAAATAAATATATCCTCAATCTTTTAACAATTCAAGTTTTTCTCTGTGGTCCCAGGAAAACTTAAATCTTGAGCATTTTATTCCTGATTGCAGGAATAGCATGTGCTCTTCATAACAATTTGGAAAAGGTTAAGAAATAGGCAAATGGAAGGAGAAATCAATCACCTGTGCTTCCAGTAATCACTGTTAGCTTTGCGGGTTTTCCTTCTAATAGCTTTTCCTATGTGTGTTTAATGACTCACTAAAGACACTTTATTTTAAAAATAAAGCACGGCTGTTGTAAGCAACAAAATTAATTGATCACTTTAGAATTATAACAGGTAAATAGCAGAAGTTTGTCCTTCACAATTTTCTCTAAAGGTAGGTAAAAGTTGTGTTATGTTGCACAGTATGGGTATGACATAATTGGCGTAATTAGTCTAGGGGTTGATGAATGTGTAGATGGTTCCCAATTGCTTTTTTCTTTCTTTTTCTTTTTTTTTTTTTACTGTTAATAATAATGCACTTGAACATCGTTGTATGCATACCTTTGCTTATTTTGAAAAAGGGCACTAAAACTTTTCTTACTCTCTCTTACATTAAAATCCATTGTGCTTTAACAAGATCATTTACCTGTGCATCATTTTGTAAATACATGCATTAATCACTTGGAAAATACTGGTTTACTGAAATAGATTTTCAAATATTGCCATATTTATTACCTAACATTAGGTCATAATAGTTAATGTCACTACAGTTTTATCAGAAAAAAGGTGTTGTGTTTTTCTCTTTTTCTCTTTTAAATTAATTAATATAAAATTTTATTCTATCTATCTATTTAAAGAAGGAGAGAGAGAAGGGGAAGCTTTCAAAGGTCATCCTGACAGATACGAATTTAGCCCAAATCTGATTTTTACATGAAAGCTTGAATTTTATTATTGATAAATCAGAATGAGTAATTATTTCACTTTTTCTTTCTTTAAAAAACTTTTTTAAATGTTTATTTTTGAGAGAGAAACAAAGAACAAGCAGGGAAGGGACAGAGAGAGAGGGAGACACAGAATCTGAAGCAGGCTCCAGGCTCTGAGCTGTCAGCACAGGGCCCGATGCTGGGCTTGAACCCACAGACTGTGAGATCATGACCTGAGCCTAAGTTGGATGCTCAACTGACTGAGCCACCCAGGCGCTCCTACTTTACCTTTTCTTAAAATAACATACTCTCTTTGTTTTCAGGAATGCCTTTTGTTTCTTTTTTCTCTTTCTTCTAGTTTCATCCTTTCCCTTCCTTCCCCTTCCCTCCCCTCCCCTTCTTTTTACTTCATTGCATTGTTAAATGCAAGAGGTGAAAGTGGACATTGTTGTGTTGCTCCCAGTGGTAAATGGAAAGCATTCGGTTTTCACCATTAAATATGTTAGCTGAGAGATTTTCTTAAATACCCTCTACCAGGTGGAGGATGTTACCTTGTGTTCCAGATTAGCAGATGCTTTCTCAGTCTCTATTAAGATGATGACATGGTTTTTCATATTTATTCTGTTACTGTGGTGAGTTACATTGGTGGGATTTTGAATGTTAACCTAATCTTGCATTCCTGGGTTATCCTTGATCATGGTGTCTTGTTTACTCTTAGTCCCTAATGTTCCACCTCATCCCCTGAGGATGTCCAGTAAGCATTTGTTGAATTAAGACAGTGAGATTTCTTAAATGATTTTCTATTCTTGGAAACCTTTGAACCTTTGAATAAATCAGTCACTTAATAAACCCAGATATATTGCTACCTTATTGAGTGATCATTTCACAACAACTTCAGTTATTAGGAGTGTAGGTGATGACTCAGAAGGAAGTAGAAAAGCTCTTTGACAGTCCTTTCATTGAAGAGCTCCAGAACGTGTTTATTTTTACATTCCGTATATAGTTCTTACAAGCTTGATGATCTGGTTTGCTTGCCTCCTACGGATCAGCAGCAGCAAGCTAAAGCGTGGAAATGAGATACTAGAGATTGCTAAATTAGGAGCATGAAGAAGAACAACTCTCAGTGGCAGAGAGGGGGAAAAAGGCATTGTAGGAATAATTTTTACAGCTTCGTAGCTGGGAACTATCCATGTCTTAATTGCAGTTCCAGGCTCTTAATAGTATAATAAAAGTGGCGTATAGCTTAATAGAAATAGTATTTCAGAGTTGGAATACACTTTAGTGAGCTTCTCATTGACTATTTCTGAACTTTTTTTTCTGCTTTTACACATGTGAGGGGTAGATCTGACCCAGGCATCCAAGACTGGCTCTGGTAAGAGTGGCTTTCGCTAAAATAGTGACTCCCAGTGGCGAAGGGAAGTTTGTCAGTTGTGTGGGTGTGTGTGTGCGTCCCGCTGATGGTGCTTTAATTACCTCACCTCTGTCACATCACATAACCTAATCACAAGGCTGGAGTCCGGGAGGGAGTTATATGGGGTATGTGCACCAGAAGATGAGAATCTTGGAGGGTGAGCCCAGGATGACGCTTACCTCATGTTTATTAAAGGGAACAGTCACTTCTTTGTTAAAATAGGAATCGAATCTCTCTTATGTGACAAGCTTTTCGCTAGGCCACGGAAACATGGGGCTAAAATGCACAGCTCCTGTCTCTGGGGCGCTGTTAAAGACCAAGAGTGGAGGCCTGTGTATAATGTAATGAGCTGCAGTAGAGGTGTAACCACTTACACTGTGAACGTCCAGGAGAAGGAACAGTGAGAGAGAACATTGGCTCGGGAAGAGTTAAGTGTGCAGATGGAAAAAATGAACCTACTGCTGCAGTTCTCGAAAACACAGAAAAATGTTTAAAACTGCTCATTGATTTTCCAGGAAGAGCAATTTGGGATTCAGGATGAGGAAATGATTAAAATCCTTCTTCTCCCCCCCAGATGGTATACCTCAAGTTTACTATTTTGGCCCTTGTGGTAAATACAACGCCATGGTGCTCGAACTGCTCGGACCCAGTTTGGAAGACTTGTTTGACCTGTGTGACAGGACGTTTTCTCTGAAGACCGTTCTCATGATCGCTATCCAGCTGGTAAGGCAAGCCAGAGGTTCTGCAGCCGATCGAATCGTCGTACGGGTCATTTGGTCACACGTTTCTATTCAAAGTTTAAAGTCTTGTTCTCTTTACAGAACGCGTGACCTCATGAGGTTTCTGCTTTTCCTCCCATTGTCTTTTTAGGGATGCATTCTCCTTAAAATAACTGAGCCAAGTGTATTTTATTTGGGTGAAAGAATTAACATGTTACTGCTTTCAGATCAGAATGCGGAGCCTGAGAATGGTCTCTCTTCGTGTCCCTGATGAATGCTTAGAAAAGAGAGCCGTTGGAAACAGGGTTTATAATGTTAGTCATAAATTCTAATGGCCTAGAAAAAGAACAAACAATGGGAAGTCTTATAAATTATTGAAATCTCAGGGAGCCTTTGGGAAACCAGCTTAAGAGGATGATTTAAGGCAATTTTGAAATCCACACCAGCAGTGGGTTACAGAAGTCTCAGAATGGTTTTCCTCCATTGACTCATTAATTTATCCAACTCATATATACTTAGAGCTGTTTTTGCAAGGTTGTTTGTCATAAAGTGGGAAACAACCCAAATGGAGAGAAATAATAGAGTTAGCTGAGTAAATTATTCATAGCCATAAAATAATATGCAGCCATTAAAAAGTGTGTATTAAGAGAATGTCTTATAACCCGGAAAATGCTTATAATATACCATTAATGAGAAGTGTAGGTCATAGAACATCGCATACCATGATCCAGAATTTGTTAACAATCTAAGAAGGCCTAGGTAGCTATATGTTTACATTGCGTTGTTGACCATTATTATCGCTCAGTGAAGCAATTTTATTTTCTTATTTATAATGTGCTATTTTGTGGCAGTTTGTACTATATTATATTACTATATCATGTGAATATAACGTATAGTATATATGCTCACTATATACTATATGTCGTGTGTAATATACACTATATAATGTGAAAGTGTACTGTATAATCATTAGAGTGGTACCCCAAAGTTTTCAGGTTTCAAGATCTTTTAAAATGTTTAATACCTAAGGAAAGACCCGAGTAAGTTATAAAAAAAGAAAAAGAAAGATATCCCAAAGATACTGTGTTCATCGTTTTCATTTAACAGTTTAGACTCTAAGTTTCTTTAATATAATGTAAAAGTTGCTTGATGATTGAGTTAATCGATAAGAACAGATTGTAACTTCACGAATACGTCTGTTTATATATCTCAGTTCCAGAGTTAGTCAAACTTTTTGGTTGTCTGAGGCGGCATCATCCATAACTGCTGATTGAATCAGGGTTACCCGTATGAAAAGAATTCATGAAATTCAAATACTTGACTGATAAGTGATCATTATAATAGTCAAAGCAAAAACTTGTAGTCATAATTGAATATATTTTTGAGGACCTGTAGACTGATACCATGTTACTTTTAAAGGGTTAAAACAATTTCTGATTTTTTTTCTCCTTTATGTTGTTTTCATTGTGAGAGTTTCATCTTGCTTCTGTTGTGCTTTTTTATGCTAGTCAAAACCTACAATAAAACTTTCTTTCCTTTTATTTTTGTGATTCAAGATTTCTCGCATGGAGTATGTCCATTCAAAGAACTTGATATACAGAGATGTAAAACCTGAGAACTTCTTAATAGGACGACCAGGAAACAAAACCCAGCAAGTTATTCATATTATAGATTTTGGTTTGGCAAAGGAATATATCGATCCGGAGACAAAGAAACACATACCGTACAGAGAACACAAGAGCCTTACAGGAACAGCTAGATATATGAGCATAAACACACACTTAGGAAAAGGTATGTGCACCTTTTGTAAATACGGACATTTGAATTTGGTGACTGCTCTCAGTGTGAGTTTTTATTTGTTATTATTGTTCTGTTTTGGGAGGTTTACACTCACGTCTGTTGTAATTTTTATTTATCCCATCTAGCTAGGGTTTACTTTCATTTATATCTAAGAACACTCTTTTGGGGCACCTGGGTGGCTCAGTTGGTTGAGCATCCGACTTTGGCTCAGGTCATGATCTCATGGTTCCTGGGTTCGAGCCCTGCGTCAGGCTCTGTGCTGACAGCTAGTTCAGAGCCTGGAGCCTGTTTCAGATCCTGTCTCTCTCTCTCTCACCCTCCCCTGCTCATGCTGTCTCTCTCTCTCAGAAATAAATAAAACATTAAAAAAAAGAAAACTCTTTTAGAGTAAGGTGCCCTAGAGTAAATGCATGACAGATCTTCTTATTTTACTGTCTGTTTTTATATGATAACTTGAAATGTTCAACTTTGATACATTTAGGCTCATGCATTTGGTAATTTTTATTCAAGAATATGAGAGAATCCTTAATTGTGGCTGAATTTAGCATGTGAAGATTCTTGATTGAAACTCTAGCTCTCTGATACAGCTAGCCAGGGAAACATGGCATCCTCCCCAGGCATTTAATGCTAAAAGTAACTCCCTTAAGGGTACCTGGGTGGCTTAGCTGGTTGGGCACCCGACTTCGGCTCAAGTCATGATCTCCCGTTCTGTGAGTCCAAACCCCGCATCGGGCTCTGTGCTGACAGCTCAGAGCCTGGAGTCTGTTTCAGATTCTGTGTCTCCCTCTCTCTCTGCCCCTGCCCTGTTCCTGCTCTGTCTCTGTCTCTCAAAAATAAATAAACATTAAAAAAAAAATTGGGGCGCCTGGGTGGCTTAGTCGGTTGAGCGTCCGACTTTCGCTTAGGTCACGATCTCGCGGTTCGTGGGTTCGAGCCCCGCGTCGGGCTCTGTGCTGACTGCCAGCTCAGAGCCTGGAGCCTGTTTCAGTCTGTGACTCCCTCTCTCTCTGGCCCTCCCCTGCTCATGCTGTCTCTCTCTCTCTCTCCTAGAAATAAATAAAACATTAAAAAAAATTAAAAAAAAAAAACAAACAACTAAAAGTAAATACCTTAATAGTTTTGTTTACTGTGTAGAAACTATATGACTTCGGGCAAATTATTTAAGTTTTTAAAAGGGATTCCTTATTAGTAGAAAGGATAAAATAATATCAATCTCACAGAGTTCTTGCAGGTATCCACCTCCCACCCCCCCACCCCTCATCCAGAATCCAGTTCAGAACTACACATTTCATCTACTTATCATACCTCCTTAGTCTCTCTTTATCTGGAACCCTCCCGTGCTTTTCTTTACGGTTCATGGCCCTCATATTTCTGTGTAGTACATACATGGTATTTTGTACGATGTCCTTAATTTGAATTTGATCATTTCTTCATGACTATATTTGACTATGCATTTGTAGCACAAATTCACAGGTGATATGTGGTCAGCATATCATGTCGGGAGACCTGTGATGTCAATTGGTTGCAAGTAGTATTGGTCACTTGCTTATGGTACTGTCTGCGAAGTTCTTCTGCCTACAAGTTTCCTATTTTTCCTTTGTAATTAAAAGTATTTTGAGATTTTTTTTGAGATTTTGAGATTTTTGAGATTATGTAAATAGAAGTATATTGTTCCCATTAAATTTTACCCACTAGATTTAGCATCCATCGATGATTTTTTAAAAATGTATCATTCCTTATGTATTCATTGGTTGATAATCTAATGTAAGCAAAGGCTTTTGTTTCTTTTCCCATTTATTGACTTCTGTCAGTATGGACTCATGGATTCCTAGCATATGGCAGTAGCATAGTGTGTTACGGTCAATGTATATTTTGATACTCATATTGTGCCATGTCTGACCACTGGTTGCTCTGTTTGGCTGGCTGCTTTGTCCTCCTGGCGTGTTCTCATGATTCTTTGGGAACTATTTTACTTTCTGGCATAACAAGTTATTCTAGATTAAGCTTGTAGTTTCTGTGCTCTAGCCCAGAAATAGACATTTCTCCAAGTAGCTCTGAGTCCTTCTATTGGATAATGTTAGGTAGAAACCAAGATTTGGCTACTGGGCATACTCATCGCTACTGGTGTGTTATTGCTGGCCTCTTTGGCAGTGAAACTAAGAAATGTGCATGTGTATATGGTCATGTGTACACACAGATACACACATGCACATATGCCTACACATGTATGTGCATATATGCACATATTAATGCCTATCTAGTAAGAGTCTTGAGCTTATATTGATAGTTTTAATTTTAGTTCGACACCACAAAGTAGTTGCCCTCTTTTCCATATTTGTAATTGCCTTCTCTTGTCTGTATTTTTGTCTTCTGGGCCGACAGTGAGAAATCTGGCCACCACTACTCTGTTTACTCATTTTTAGAAGCCTAGGATCTTCAGAGTCTAGTTTCGGAATTGGTAACTGCTAACAGTATGTCAGGCAAGCCTACTAGAATTGTCAGTAGTTGTACTTCTTATTTTATTGAAAAGTTCACTTTTTAAATCGAAATAAAGTTTACATTGAATTAAGTTTATAACTTTTGAGTGTATGATTTGTAGTTTTTGACATATGTACACACCTTCGTAACCCACAACTCTGTCAAGATTGAGAACATTATCATCATCTCATAGACTTCATTCTTGCTCTTCCCCCACATTCTCTCAAAGGAGCCATTGCTGTGATTTCTATCATTAATCTAGCATAGTTTTTTTTTTTAAGTTTTTTTGTTTATTTTGATAGAAACAGAGCACAAGTGGGGGAAGGGCAGAGAGAGAGGGAGAGAATGCCACCTGGGCTCCCCACTGTCATTGCAGAGCCCTATGTGGGCTTCGAATTCATGAAACTGTGAGATCATGACCTGAGCTGAAATCAAGAGTCTTGGACTGAGTAACTGACTAATGTGCCCCTTGAGTAGATTAGTTTTGCTGATTCAATTACTTCATATAAATGAAATCATCTGGCTTCTTTTGTTCTGTGTAAGGTTAATGTTTGTTTTTCAAATATCAGTAATTTGTTTCTTTTTTAAGGCTAAGTAGTATTCCATTGCATCAGTATACCGTAAATTATTCTAATGTTGATAAACATTTTGATTATTAACAGCTTTTTAATCTTAGGAATTTTTAAATCTTTCAGTGCACATATATTTTCAGTTCTCTTGGGTATATACCAAGATTGGAATTATTGTGTCATATGGTGGGTATTTTTTTAACTTCATAGGAAACTGCCAACCAGTACTCCCAAAGCATTCATGTCATTTTATATTTCCACTAGCAGTAAATGAGAGGTCTGTTTGTTTCATAGTCTTGACAACTTTTGGTGTTAGCCTTCTTTTTTGTTCTATCCGTTGGAGTAAATGTATAGTGGTATTTGACTTAGGATTCTGAGCACTGTTTCTTGTGCTTGCTTATTGGCCATTTGTACATCTTCTTTTGTGACATGTATGCCATTTTATTGTTGATTGTAGGAATTCTTTATATAGTCTGAAAATACATTCTTTCCCCAATATGTGTTCTCTGAATAGATTCTTTTGGTCTGTGGGTGGCCTGCTCATTTTCTTAATGGTGCCAGTGGATGTGCAAAAGTTGTAAATATTTGTGGAGTCAATTATTTACCAGTTTTTTGTTTTAGGATTGCTACTATTTGAATCTTAGGAAATCTTTGTCCCCATGAGATGCAGATATTTATGTTTTCCCCTAGAATAAATTTTTGTATGGTGTGGGTTATGGGCTGAGGTTCATTTTATGGGGTCATAATCTTTCCCATTGAGCTACTTCCTGGCCTGTCTAAAAAAATCAGTTCTGGGTTATGTTTATAGTGGTTTATTTTTAAGTCTTCAACCACGGTCAGTTTTCATATCAGGCAAAGTCAAACTTAATTCTCTGCTTTTCGATTACATCGCTGACATCTCACTCACAAGGAGGAACAGAGAAACGTAAACCAGTCAGTACTCACTCATCATCACTGCTCAAACATACCTTACAGACACACAGTCACTTTTTGTACAAGACCTTAGCAGTCTCCTGACCCAGCCATCAACTCCTGGCGGTAGCTTCTTCTCTAACCATTCTTCCCAGATTTACCTGCTCTATATTGCTTCTGCTTACCTGCTGTACCTGCTTCTTTCTCTCAGTAAGAACAAACAGCCCTTGGAATTTTCCCTGACAGCCTCCTGATAGTGGAGACATGGTATTTTTTTCTTTGCAGTTGTCTGAAATGCCTGAAAAATGTCAGTTTGCCTTACTTTAAGACAAGTTTCACGTATCTAAAATTATAAAGCACATGCTGCATTCAAGTCATATGGGGGAGGAAAGTTGCCTTTCAATAGCAAACTTCCATGATAGATTTAAAATAAGATTGAGTAAACACACAACTTTCAGGATTGTGTCTGATATTACAATCCGGCACACCTGTATTTCTATGAACTGTGTCTGTGAGAGATTTTCATTTGTGGTAGCTGCTAACAGACTATTTTATAACAACTAACAAAGGTTCGCCACCATTTTATTGTGAGACATGAAGTCACAACTTCCTTATGGCCCGATGTTTTTTTATCTGAACAATGGTAAATGTAACAGCATTCTATTTGTAGAAATGGCAGAGTGAATCTGATATGTTTGTCCTTGTTAGGAAAAGCCTTCAGAGCTTGGGAAATGGCATTTAACTATTGCAGTAATCTCTTTTTCCTCCTTTTTCAGGAAGAAAACATAAACAAAATATTTCTTGGGCAAGTACTGCAAAGAACAAACGCTTTAATCCTTACTCTCTCCTGTTTATAAAAGGACCATTTCCAGTTTTGATGTAGAACTTGGAAGTAGACGGGCACTGTTAACAGTGAAAAAATTTGTTTGCCAGATTCCATGAGTTCCTGTTTTTTAAGAAATTAATAAGAGTAAGCTAAAGTCATGCAAGTTTAAGTGCTGAAGAGTTAAAGCATTTTATAAGTGAGACGGC